AGATCGAAGTGCGGGAAAAAAAATGGTGGCCTCGTTCTTTGGAAGGATAGGTCATTTTGCAACAATTGTGTTAGAGGATCAAAAAACAGTTTCTGCAGAATGGTACACTACCAATTGTTTGCCACTTGTCTTGGAAAAAGTTCGAGAGAAACGACCTCGCAGTAGGATCCTCCTTCACCACGACAACGCCTCATCGCACACCGCCAAGCGAACGATCGACTATTTGGCGACATCAAACGTTGAATTACTTATAACAATTGTAATACACAATCAATTTCAGTCAAAAGACGTCTAGAATGGACAGTAGAGTACATAGGTAGTATAAACTGAAGTCGCTTCCCGCTGTCTGACACAACGGACTTTGATGCGGTTTTGATGGATATACAGAGGGCCAGTTTTTTGATCCGTAGTCAAATGTCATTTCACCATTTGTTAACTTGACTATAGTTAAAACAATAACAAGTTGTTAACTCGCTATTTCGTTTTTTGATGCCAAATTTAATCATAGTCAAATTTAACCACTGGCCAATTTGTTGCCAGCACAATGAGTCGTTTTTTCGCTATACATTGACATGGGTAATTTTTTTCTGGGTGACAACACTAACGGTTTGAATGAACGGAGCGAACTATATACCATTTTTGACATTAGGATTTTGTTCTAAATATCAAATAGATGAAAGAAATCTATAGATTATCAAAGAGTGTGGATGTTTATGGTTGTTCTGTTGTGTGCACTATATGTTATTTTTCAGGAAGTATAAGGCAATTCTTTAATAATGTTAGAAAGCAACAAAGATATGTTTTTTCCAGTTATTTTAAACTTAACTTTTTATAAAAAGCATATATTTGTTTTTTATTTATCCTATAGAGAAATACGTGAAAAGAATATAGTATCTAGTATCCAAGGTGGGATTGTAACGTTGGAAAATAAATCAAGGACTATGTATTTTATTTACTGTAGGCATATTTACCTTTTGTATTGTCTATTCGTGGAATTTATAAGATTTTTAATAATTGAATAATTTGGCATCTGCCCGTGGAAACAAGAAAATTCTTTCTATATAGTACAAATATACTAAGGATGATCAAGATAAAAATATAACTTATTTTCAATAACCCTATAACCAAAAAATGACAATTAATATTTTCCTATGAAATTGCATCATAAAACGAAATCCCAAAAATAGCTAATGTACAAATTCACTATGAAATCATGTAGGTTATAAAAACAACGTAAAAAACAATAACAAGGGACCAAGTAAATACAACGCAGTTGTACATCTGTTCTTTTAACAATTGGTCATTTACTTAACCTAGCTTCCAGTGATGGTTAAATTTTTTGACAAATGGTTGTAATTCTGACAATTGGTTAGGCTAACTATTAATCAAAAAACATATTTTTCTGATATTTAACCATTTGTCAAAGATTTTAACAAATGGTTGAGTTAACCACGGATCAAAAAACTGGCCCAGAGTGATTCAAGAAGAAGATTTATAATACAGGACGAAAGCAAGTAACTATAAAATGATAATTCAAAAGAGTTTTGTATTTGCGCTTTGAATTCAATAAATAACACTTCTCGTATTCGATTATATAGGTAATGGATCTTACTGATGTAAGAAAACATTTTTATCCTACGTGGAGTAGAAATTTATATTAGGTTTTTTTATGATGATGCGGTAAATGTAGGCTTTAGGAGAGAAATAAGTTTAATATTCAAGCCCGTTATTTTCACTGCGAGGTGTCCGCTATACTTAACTGGGATATAGTTAATGTGTATTTGTGACTGGGATAAACATTTTATATCTGCACTAATATTATAAAGAGGAAAACTTTGTTTGCATGTTTATTTGTAATGAATAGGCTCAAAAACTACTGGACCGATTTTAAAAATTCTTTCACCATTCGAAAGCTACATTATTCACGAGTAACATAGGATATATTTTATTTTGGAAAAAATAGGTTTCCGTAAGAAATTTGGGTTTTTCCTACTCAAGGTGAAAAAATCAACCATTAAAGTTATTTATTTTGCGTACGCTGCCTAGACTATAAAAGATAGAACCATAAAATGTTCTAATTAATTGTAGATCCTATGATTAAAATTGGTCGTTTGCTTTTGAAGCTATGGCGAAATTTAAAAAATACGATTTCTGCTGCACAGCCCGTTGCGAAGTGGACGTCACCAAAGCGGGGGTGCGCGTGCGGGAGGGGAGTTTAGACCTATGAGTAAGGTACCAGCGGACCACGCGGGCGAAGCCGCTGGCGGAAAGCTAGTTTAATAAATTAAATGCTAAGACTTATTATAAAAATATTATATTTTGAATTTGGGCGACTACTCTAACCACTAAGAATTAGTTACTTTGACATATTAGTGAGCGTATTTCATTTATATTTAGGAAATTCATTAAAGTAATATGTTTTAAAATAGTTTTAAAATTTCCGATTAAGATTAATATTCTGATTATTTTATTTAATTAATTTAATATTCAGTATCCTATTGATATTTTTCTTTAAGTAAATCATCAAAGCGATATATTCATAAAATAGCGTTTTAAATTAGATTAAAGTACAAGGCAAATGGAAATGCATTGCGTGTTTCATATACAAAGGATTGGGTAATTAAAATTATAATGAACCTCGTTCTGTATACTACTAATATGTTTGTGGCCTATTTGTTTGTAGAAATAAATTGAAAACAGTTCGGTCAACTTGTCACGGTGAAATCCCTTTGATTATACGGTTCTTTTTGGCTGGAAATGAAGTATTGGTGGTTTTTGTCGTGGCCTTTTGCTGTCTGACAGAAAGTTCCTAATGTGTGTTGGCTATAAAGTTTTTTTGTGGTGTATGTTACCAGTACAAATATCGTATTAATGTGTCGTCATTTTATTGTGTTAGATAGTTTTTCCTTTATGAATATATTAAAAATGTTATTATGTTAATTATAAAAGCTTGTTGGTAAAGATAGTTTTTGTTGAACTTCTTTCTTATAGCCATTTACACTGCTGTTATATTACAATTTCTGTGAAAGATTTTTATTTTATTTCTAATTAATTGATACGGCGATTTTTGTACGCCTTTGAACTTTTCTTAGACAAATCTTTACGTTATACGCAAAATGCTCGACAGCTTTATTAAGCTGAAAAATGCGCTTTTTTTATTTTAATATTTACGTTATAAAATCGTAATCGCTTTCTAATTTAACATTAACGTTATAATTAAAATCGTAGTTATTCTTAATGAAAAATGCTTAAAGGCCATTTTGTCCTTGGCACTCTGAGACGGAATTCGAGCCCACGATCTTTCGCAATCCGGGCGACTACTCTAACCATTGAGCTACCCCGGACCTAACAGGACTGTCGAATTTTTTAAACGCAATTGTTCCTTTCATTAGGTCGTCGTGGGTTCGCGTCCCATCTCAGAGTGCTAGAGACAAAGTGGATTTTTTATTTCTTTTCCAATTAAGAATTTTTCGGTATAGCAATGTGAATGCGAAATTGGCCAAATGTCAAAGTCGTAGTGTTTTACATAATCTTTTTGCATAATTTATCGTAGAAAAGTGCTTCTTTACAATTTTTCTCTAAATTTTAACATTTTCTTTCTTCGGAGTTCAACAAATAATTTAAAATAATCTTATTTACACCTAGCGACAGTAACGTTCATTAAGTTTAATGACGACTTTAAACTCTAATGAAAATTCTAAATTGAAAATTGTCACTTTAAACTAATGACAATTTCAATGGATGTCAGTGCAACTCGATGTAAGTCTATCCGTTCTCTAATTTAGCGCTTCGCTATACCATGAGTAAACAATTTTTTAATATGTCACTTTAATTTATATTTATAAAAAGGAAATTGTACACACACTACAAAGATATTCGCTGTTATATTCATTAGTTTTTTATACTGATTACAATTGCGGCGAACTATCCACCCACTAGCCGTCACGTAGAAATCTGCATTGCTCCAGAACCAACGTAAATTTTAGCTGGATATTCGTAGGAGAGTTGAATGTATAATGAATGTGAACACTTTAGTAAAGATGTGAGTACCGACAATTTGTACAATGTACCTTTATGAATCGCGACGAGAATTATTGACATTTTAAGGTGGACGTCCATATATCAGCACGCACGCACCTGCCGTACGACACGCAACAGATTCTATTAAAATTCCAGCATAATTCCGTCTACAAAACTTTTTGAAAGACTGTCGCATTTCTCATAAAGCAACTATAAAATATGCGACTGCAGTGTACGTATTACTTCGACAAATCTGTGCAATGAGTTGCGTATCGTGCAGCCGGTACGCGGTATGTGTGTGTTGAGGCTGTGGACGAGTACCTTTAGTCAACGCGGTTTTATGAAGATAGTATTTGTATAGTTAGTTATTAGGTCAATCCTCTCAATCAAAATCTTCGAAAAATCCGTATACATAAATTCTTCAAGACTAGCCATTTAATTACCTCATAATTATCAGTCCTTCTACGTCATAGTCATAATATTTGTTGCTCCATGTTGGTTCATATGTTCTTACATATAAATTATAAGTATAAGTCCTGCGAGGGCATTGCAACATGCGGTCGTGTGCTGTCTTAGTGTCGTTTTTTCAGATATTTAATTAATTCAATTTTTGTGATTGGCCGTGAGTGAAATTTTTAATTCCTTGTCTCGCAAGGGGTCGTTAAACGGAGTAACTCCTCCTACTGGGCAGTCCTAGAGTGGGATAACTAATTTGACATAAATCCGTGTGCATAAAATTGTGTGCTGGGCGGAGATTCGAACTCGGTCTCGTGGATTGTTGCTGCGTCTGGTACGAAAACTGCGCCGCTATTAAAGCCGTGTAGCAACCGGTGAAATAAAAGATTCTTATCGAAAGGTGACGTTGTGCTACGTCTTGCTACGTTTGCTACGAATTCATTGCGTCTGCTACGGCACTACACTGCATCTACGAAGTCGGTGATTACTGTTAAACTATTTTCGATCGTACTTTTATCGTGAAAATGCCTAAAGTCCAGCGTAGCCCGCCCGTTTCCCCATCCAAGCAGACACAATCACAAACAGAATCGGATTCATCGGCAGCAGATAAGCCGCCGACGGGAAGTTATAAGACAGCGGTTCGTTCAAAACGCTTACGAATGGAATTATCGCCCCAAAGTAATACCGAGAATGATTTGCAAGATTTAAAAAAAGAGCTTATGGTTATGCTTACCTCATGGAAAACAGATCAAGATGCCACATTATCAAAACTTGTTGCGGACATAACAGCACTGAAAAATCAATGTTTTGATATACAAACAACAAATTGCGGAATCGAAAAATCGATATCTTCTTTAGGTGCACAATATGAAGAAGTAAAAAATAAGATTGGAAAGTTGGAACTAGAGAAAAACCAGAATACTGAATTGTTAATGGCGCTAGGAAAGCAAATGGATGAATTCCAACAATTATCAAGATCTTCAGCTATTGAAATCAGAAATGTGACAGAGGAAGGGAAGGAGACTGAGAAGGAGCTTACTGAAATTATTAAAAATCTTGGTTCCACCATTAATATTAATATAGAAGACAAAGATATAAGAGATATATACAGGCGCCCAGGAAAACCGGGGACGACTAAGGCGATAGTAGTTGAATTCAATTCTGTACAATTTCAAAACAACTTTCTTCATTCCACCCGTCGTTTCAACAGAAACCGGCAGGCATCAGAGAAGCTCAATCATGAGCACATCGGAAAGTCGGGTGACAAGCGACCAATCTATGTGGATGAGCACCTTCCCTACTCAACTCGCAAACTTCTGTTTCAAACCCGTGAATTTGCAAAACAACATAATTTTAAATTTTGCTGGATATCTAGGGGCAGGGTGCTGCTCCGCAAAGATTCGAACACTAAATATATACATATTAAGTCTGAGAAATGTCTGCCTAATCTTCTTACTTTTCTGTAGGCTGGTTAACTTTCTTTTTTATCTTACATTACAGATATATAAATGTACAAGAAATAAACTTTCATACTGTCAAACAATACACGAACACATATTCAACACACATAAAAATACTACTATTTACACTACTTTATTTGCAACCTACTATAAAAATTTCCTTAACATACATACATGTCCTAAATTGTTAAATATGGTTGTTTCATTATATTATAAATTCTCAAATATTCTATGTGAAACAACATCTCGTTTTCTTTTGTTCACATTTAAACAAAAACACGAAAAACACTGCAACGCACGCCTATCACATCACTATTTCTACAAGTATATATTAACTATGTCTCATTTTAAACTTGTTATTATGATAGATATTGAACAATGTACATTTGTCCTATGGCTAGTACAGGCTTTCTCCTTCTCAGGTAGAGGGTGTAAAATTTTACAAAATAATTTACTATATTTGTTGGACTGTGCCGGTCTTATGTTGTCTCTAATGATGATAAATGTAAATAAACAATGTTGCTTTAAATAAAAATGACAGACTTAGATAATATAATAGTTGATATTGACAGCATAAGACCCGCACAATCCTATTGCTGTACACCCGAAACCTGTATAGAGTACTTGTATAATAACTTATCGCTTAATATAATACATGCCAATATTAGGAGTATAAATAAAAACTTCGATAATTTTCTAGCCACGTTGATAGCAACTAAAATAGAGTTTGACATTATTATACTGTCCGAATGTTGGTTGAAATCTGCTGGTCCTCTCCCTTCTCTTACAGGCTACACTGCCCATCAAACGTTGAATAATCCAATTCAAAATGATGGAGTTGTAATATATATAAGATCTTCCTTAAATTATCAAATTAGTGAACCAAACATCTTTGACGCTAACTGTTTGGTTTGTGGTATTGGTGATGTTGCTATAGTTGCAGTATATCGCTCTCCATCTTATTACAATCTTGACAAATTTTACAACAGTTTTGAAATTATAATTAATTCATTGAAATATCCTAATATCGCAATAATGGGAGACTTCAACGTGGACATAAGGGAAAATAATAATAAAGACCATCATTCGGATGAATATCTTACCTTTATGTCGTCGTTGGGGTTCCTTCCGGCCTGCACCTACCCTACTAGATCAGAAAATTGCCTAGACCATATCTTTTTAAAAACAAAGCTTGTAGCTGTTGCAGTAGTCATGCAGAGTGAGATCACTGATCACTATCCTACAGCTTTATCGTTAAAAACTAAAAATAAAATAAAGAGACATGGATCCTGTGGTACAGTTAGTAAAATTGATTTCGAAGGCGTAAAGCACGAATTGGATACGGCAAATTATAGCATAGTTTTAAAAGAATCAAATGCAGATTTGGCGACAAACAATTTGATAACCATTATACAAACTGTAATCAAAAAGCACAAAACAACTAGAAAAGTATCTCGTAAAAATGTTATTATTAAACCCTGGATAACCCCTGGCATCCTACGTTGTATACGAAATCGCGATTCAATGCACCTTAAATTGAGAGGTTCACCTGATAATCATATTTTAAAAATCACCTACTGCAGATACCGTAACTTTTGCAACAAACTTTTGAAAAATCTTAAAGCTGCCTACGAAAAATGTCAGTTTGAAAAGGCAAAAAATAATCCTAGGGCCTTATGGAATGTCGTTAAAACGGTAACTAACACTAAACAATGTAAAAAGTTTGCTGTTGAACTTCTCAATATTAAAAATGATAGTAAAGCTTCGTTGAATTGTGTGAATGAATATTTTGTAAGTATTGGCAAAAATCTTGCCTCTAAAATATTGCCCCATATACAACAGACCCAGAGTAATATTGAAGAAACAAACACCGGAGGTGGCTCCTTTGCCATCCTACCTGTAGACGAGTCTATAATAAAAGATCTGATTTTGGGACTTCGTAGTGATTGTGCGACTGGATGGGACGAAATACCCTCTCGAGTTATCAAACAGTCCTGCAGTGCACTGACACCGCCCCTGGTACATATTTTCAATCTATGCATAGAGAGGGGAGTGTTTCCGGGTGCCTTTAAAAGAGCTGTTGTGTCACCAATTCATAAAGGGGGCGACGTGGATGTCCTTTCTAATTACAGGCCCATTTCCGTTTTGACTGCTTTCTCGAAACTTCTGGAGAGATATCTTAATGCTTCACTTGTGCAATATTTGACAAAATTAAAAATACTGTCTGACAACCAATATGGCTTTCGTAGTGGTATTTCTACGGAGGACGCCGTTTCTAACTTTGTCGGTACGGTTGTCTCAAAAATAGAGAAAAAGTTAAAATGTTACGGTGTCTTCCTGGATCTCTCCAAGGCCTTTGATACCGTCTCTGTGCCTATTCTTCTGGCCAAGCTTGAAAAGGTAGGTATACGGGGCCTTACATTAGATATGTTCACAAGTTACCTGACAGACCGAACACAAAATGTAAAAATAGGATCTTTATTTAGTGATGAAAAATTAATATGTTATGGCGTTCCCCAAGGTAGCATACTAGGTCCCACTCTCTTTTTAATATATATTGACCAGCTGTGTCGCATGTCTCTTGAGAAATGCGATATTTTTACGTATGCTGATGATACTGCACTATTAGTCTATGGTGATAGTTGGATCTCCGCAAAGGCAAATGCAGAGAGCGCACTTGCAAAAATCAAGATCTGGTTAGATGAGAATCTTCTTACCTTAAACCAAGATAAAACGCAAGTTATTCGATTTGACATCTCCAAGAAGCACCTTAAAGATCTACCTAATGATGACATTAAAATTCATCACTGTCATGACAAAGATCCGTGTGTATGTAGTAGCAAACCTTTAAAAGTTGTGAATAGTGTCAAATATTTGGGAGTGTACGTTGATGACAAACTCGACTGGCATGTACAAATTCAGATTCTCACAGCAAAGGTTCGTAGGTTGATTTATGTCTTCAAGAGACTGTGCAGTTCAGTTGATCAAAACACTCTTTTTATAATCTATAAGGGTCTGTGTCAGTCAGTAATAGCATATTGCATTTCGGTTTGGGGTGGGGCAAATAAAACAAGCCTTTTGAGATTGGAACGAGCTCAGAGGGCTGTACTTAAGGTTTTATTGCGTAAGCCAAGAACATACTCTACGGAAAAATTATTTCATGAATGTAAAGTGCTTACAGTGAGGCAGCTGTCGATACTTCGTATTCTTTTACGTAAACATTCATCAATACCTTTTGATCATAAAATAACAATGAGGAGGTCGGGAGCTCCTGTTTGTCATCAAATAAAATGTCGGACTTCGTGGGCGAAACAGCAATACAACGCGCTAAGTTTAAAACTGTACAATAGAGTGAATAAAATTAAACCAATACTTTCGCATACAAAGCTCACTGTGAAAACCATTATCGAAAATTTGTTATTGTCATTTAACTATCACGAAACAGAGGACATGTTGAAGTAGGCAAACCAAATAGAATATATATACGCACACAAATACGACACAGGCAACACGCACACACACACCCACACACACACACACACACACACACACACACACACACACACACACACACGCACGCACACACACACACTCACGCATAGGTTTACACACAAAAGTTCTACCGATACCGATATATATATAAACAATGGTTGTAAAATGTTCATTGAGATAAGAGGAATCACTGACTTCCAAAAAACAGATTTAATTCTAGTTTGGGGGTCAGGGGCTCACAATAATTTAGGTGCTAATTTGTAACCAAAAATGCAACATTATTAATTTATATATATAAGAGAATGTTATGTTTTGGTTTGAATAAAGGAACTTACTAGGTGGAGAGTCCCCACTGCAGGGGTCCAGGCCTTCCTTATGGATGGTTAAAAAGGATGGGCCATGACCCTTTACCTTAGCTCAATGCGGGTTGGAGGATATTATCGGCTGCAAATGCAGCTGGAATCAACGGTTTAATGTGCCTTTAGGAGCATGACTCGAGATGATAATTTTTTGTTCTCCCATCCCGTGACCGACCCTTGCGAAAGTTGATTAAAATTAAAGATCGCGGGACGCGGCAATTATCCACTACGCTGTCGTTACGCTATACTCAAAATATTATTTATCGTAACTTCAAATGTTTGACAGCTTTATTTATCTGAACAACGCGCTTTGTTTATTTAAATATTAACGTTATACTTAAAATATATTTTTTAAAAGAAAAGTGCTTCTTACTATTTTTCTGTAAATTTAAACAGTTTTTTTCCTCGGATCTCAACAAATAATTTTAAATTACCTTATTTACATCAATTTGCTGTAACGTCCAATAATGTTTAATGGCGACTTTAAGTTTTAATGAATGTTCTGAAATTAAATTCTGTTGGTGTTTTAATATAGCTCTGAATCAATTTTAAGGAAATATATATAAATAAATATTAAACAACATTACATACATTGCTCAGATTTCAATATGAGTAGTTAAAGCCCCCGTATTATGAAGCATCTGAGACAACGAAGGTACCAAAACACCCAGACCCGAGTGACAATATAGAAAAGTCCATCTCGATGTAAGCCTATCCTCGACTTTACCGCTTCGCAACACCATGAACAAATTATTTTAATATGTCGCATTAATTTATATTTATTAGAAGAAAATTGTACACACACTACAAAGATATTCGCTGTTATATTATTTATTTTTATGGAACTGATTACTGATATGCCGACTGAACTATCACCCTAGACCTAGACTTATTTATTTATTTACGACAAATAACAGATTACAATCAATTTCATTACAAATAGTATTAACAAGTTATTCGATTCTGATCATAACCCAACAGCATGTGTCTTTTATAATAACTAAACGTGTTATTTTACAATTTAAGTATTTGGAATATAATTAAATAGTATTAAGAATTGTAATTATAATTTCAATAAAATAAATTAATGATCACAAATCAAATTAAAATAATAAATTATTACTCTAAAATTAATCAGACAAAGCGAATTAAATC